TGGGAGGTTGGTGTAGATTTCCGATGTGGGACTCTGTGCAAGTTGCCGCGGTGGTGACACGTGTCATGAGAATTAGGTTTAACAGTTTGTGAGCTTTGGCAGTCGGGAGTTTCGGCAGGTGCTTGGCACCTCGGAAGAGTGTCTTCCTTCGGCAAGAGAGAAGGCGTGTCTGCCTTGGTGCTAGTTGTTTTGAGACTGGATATGCTCGGTTGATTATGGTGTAAACATACTTCAAACTTGATCATTTTTCTTGTTTGATCTTCATTTGGTGGTTTCTTTACTTGAACTTGTTTTTTGTGCTCTGCTGTTGCAGGTCGTGTCGGAGTTTTTGGGAGATGCTTGTCCTGAACATATACATAGCTCGCAAGTTTCTGTACCAGCTTTTTCATTTTTACTGTAAGATGCTAAGCAGGTGCTGTCTAATAGCTAATTAACATGCTTATTATTGTTGAATATTTTGTACTGTGCCGGATTAAGAGGTTGGACAAGTTATATTGTGTTCAGCTATGTTGCATGGACACGAGTACAGGGACACGGGAACGCGACATGGGGACACGGCGACACGGAAAATCTCAAAAAATTAGGACACGGGTACGGCTAGGACACGGCAATTAAAATAATAATTTATTATTAATACTTCAATGTCACATAATTCCATAAAACAAAACAAATAACTCATGTTCATCATCCATACATAATAATTAATAGACCACAAAATAAAACATAAATGATCTAACTCTGAATCTTCTTCAAGCATCTATGTCTTCATTGTTATTGTCATTATTTGTTGTGTTTCTCTTAAAAAAAAATAGAAGAAAGAATTGTCACCTCACCACCAAGTCCAACTCTTCTACTGATGTGAAGGGAGATAAGAAAAGAAAATAGAGAACATAAATAAATGCATTTGAAAATAGAGAAAAAAAAAATTGCAAAGAGAGTTACCTTGTGCAAAACCAGGAGAAGGGGAGGAGAAGAGCTGTGGTGGAGGAAATAAACTTCGGCAGCAGAAAAAAGTGAGATTTAGGTATAAAAAAGTCTTTTCCCACTTTTAGCCCATATTTTTAAAAATATTTCAAATCAGTCCACCAAAAGTTTCAAAAATCACGTTTAGACCCCAGATTTTATTTTTAAAATTTCAAACTGGTCCCTGCTATGTCTTGACTGTGTCGGAGCTGTGTCTTGACCGTATCCCAACCGTTGACCGTGTCCAATGCGTGTCGGAGCCGTGTCGGCATGTCGGCGTGTCCGACACTCTGACACTCCAGCAGTTTAGAGTGTCCGTGCAACATAGGTGTTCAGTACTGCACAAAGTAAAAGGTTGTTTTCAAATGAAAAAAATAAAAGCATCCCACTCTCTCTTGTAAGGCAATTTACCGGACTGGTAAATTTAGGCCGAGTCCTAAACAATTGGGAACATCTCTGCACAATATTGGAACATGGGACAATTTGTATTTGTTATCTAACCTTTAAAAAAAAAAATTATTAACAGTATATTGAAATCACAAATGCCATTTATAAAGCGATCACATTTATATACCACATTTGACGAACATCACATATTATGACGCAATAATAAAATTAATGAATTGAGTGGTAAAAAACGAGCAAGAACATCAACCATAAGAGGTTGGACAAGTTATATCGTGTTCAGTACTGTACAAGGTCAAAGGTTGTTTTCAAATGAAAAAAGAAAAGCATCCCACTCTCTCTTAGAGCATCTCAAACCGATATGTCAAAAGTGCTACATAGATATTTAATGATTAGAAATAACATCTCACATCACTCCAATCGAATTGTCAAAGCTGATGTAGAATGAAGGCTAGAGGTTCAGCTTATTTTTGACATCCCAAAAGTAAGATGTCAAATGAATATTTTATTATTTTTTAGAGACAGCTGGTTGTAACTTTCATTTATTATTTTATTTTTTTATTTTTTTCTTCTTTATCTTAAATGATTGGACTGTTATAATAATTATTTATTTGACATATCGAGTAGAGTAAAAAACTGTGTAAATGTCAAATTGCCACATCAGCCATCAAATTTGAATTTAAAGTTTGGTATTTGACATCTCCCTTGAAGATGCTCTTATAAGGCAATTTACCGGACTGGTAAATTTAGGCCGAGTCCTAAACAATTGGGAACATCTCTGCACAATATTGGAACATGGGACAATTTGTATGTGTTATCGAACCTTTAAAAAAAAAAATTTAATTAACAGTATATTGAAATCACAAATGCCATTTATAAAGCGATCACATTTATATACCACATTTGACGAACATCACATATTATGACGCAATAATAAAATTAATGAATTGAGTGGTAAAAAACGAGCAAGAACATCAACCATAAAATTGCATTTGATTGGAGTTCTGGGCCCAAATATCTGGATCCTTCAGAAATGGGCCAGTCAATCAATCAAAGGAACAAACTAGCCCAAATAAAAACAAAAGGTCGCCAAAACGACGTCGGTACCATGTAACCCCGAGGAAACCCTAAGTTAATAAATCTCTACCCTCACCTATCTTCCTCTTTCACTCGCACTGCCTCCCGCCCGCAACCCTCTTCTCTTTCTCTCTCTGTCTCTCCCCTCTCTTTCTCAGTACCGATCCAATGGTACGGACCAAATTCCTTTCCAGATTGATCGCCATCTGTTTGTGAGAATGTCTCTGACAATCTAGAGTTTTTTATTATTTCAGGCACCGAAGAAGGACAAGGCACCGCCACCGTCGTCGAAGCCGGCGAAGTCTGGAGGAGGCAAGCAGAAGAAGAAGAAGTGGAGCAAAGGAAAGCAAAAGGAGAAGGTCAACAACATGGTGCTCTTCGACCAGGGCACGTACGACAAGCTCATCGCTGAGGCACCGAAGTATAAGCTCATCACACCCTCCATTCTCTCCGACCGTCTCAGGATCAATGGGTCGCTGGCGAGGAAGGCCATAAGGGACTTGATGGCCAGAGGGGCGATTAGGATGGTTTCTGCTCATGCCAGCCAGCAGATCTACACCAGGGCCACCAACACCTAGGTCGTCTTGTTTTCTATGGTTATTAAGTCGTTTTGGTGATTATTATATCGTTGTAGACTATTTAGCATCCCTTTTTTATTTGCATGCCAGTTTTGTTTTGGTTTTTATGGTTAATGAAACTTTGATTATTCAGGATTATTACGCATTAGCTTGCTAGCAGATTATGAATCCATTCAAATAGTGAGAAACCGTTGTTCTTCTTTGTTGCGTTTTCCATGGTTTCCATGAACTTTGTTGTCATTCCAACCTTAAAAGTTGAAACAATATTTGCTTATACATCTATTTAGAGGCTAGATTGCATTACCCTTACATGTTCTTATAATTTTGAGTTCATCCAGTTTGACAGTGCTGCCAGAACAGTAGGCAAAATATGCAACCTAGGTCACTGACTGATGTCATCTCTCCCTTCTCCTTCCTTATTGCTCCTCTCTTTTCTCTGAAGATCGCAACTTTTTTTTCTTGACATCTTGTATGTCCTTCAATTTATTTTCTTGTTCTTTTAGATTCTTTAAACTACGTCAATTTTGTGTGCTTTGGATTTAGTTTTCTGTTTTTTCGGCCGGAGAGATGATATAGTGCTGTGTGTTTGAAGTTAACAAGAGAAGAGATGGTACTTGCACTAGGAGTCTAAAATGGTGTTTTAAACGCAAATGATGGTTTGGAACTGTTATGTGGCTGACGGGGAACTATAACTGTTTATTTGTGCAAGGCAAACCCTAGTTAGGTATATAGTGTGATGATTGATGCAGAAGAGTAGAGTAAGATTCATATTTGAGTAGTTTTAAGGACTATGCGTAGCAAGGCACAGAAAGAAAATGTTTTCAGAAGTTTTTATGGGTTAAAACCTAGCATGAAGTTTTCTGCTGCAGCAACTGGGTAAGATGGTTCTGGCTTCTTAGATTTAGGGTTGGGATAAGTATGGATTTTAGGGTTTTAATAAAATACATGATGAGAGGCTTCTTCACGGTTTTAGGTTGGCTGCCTCTAGCAGTACACTATCCATTTTTCAGGTTCTGAAATTGGCTGCCTCTAGTAGATTGGTTGATACTTGGATTTTCTTGAAACATATTGTAAATTTACAAAGATTTTGCTTCTCCACAGTTTTATGCTGAATCTGAGGAATTTGAGCAGATGATCCTTTAATTAATTTAAAGCATTAGCAGGGATGTCAAATATCTCCAGATTTCATCATTTATACATCTTGTGTTACCAGTTGCATTTTACTTCATCCTTAGCCTTGTTTGGTTCATGGGAAAGGAGGTTTGAAGATGAGAAATCAATTGCTTTCCCTTGTTTGGTAAATCCAAGCATGCGAAATCGTTGCTTGGCTCATGGGAAAGTGAAGCCCTCTTCCCGACTTAGGTTTGTTTTCCCTCCTCATGAGAAAGTTTGGGAAAATGAGTCAACATTAAATATATATTTTTTAATGACTATTTTGTACCCATTAACAATTTAAAATTATAATATATCATTTAATGCATTTTTTTTATTTGACTTAATATGAGTATAATTGAAAATTTATATGATCTTTGTTTTCCATTCCTACACAAAACATGAAAAAGGAAATTACTTCTCAAATATTACCAAATGTGGGAAATGAATCTTCTATTTATTATTCCTTCAGAAGTTATTTCCATTCAAATTCGTTTGGTGAATCAAATGGGGCCTAAGGATAAAAGTTTGCCCCAGCCAATTTACCCAAAACATAAATATATAAAACTAATTTTTGTCAACTTTGAATTACAACTTACAAGCATACAACAAAAATCAAGCTTACATCTTAAGCAATATAATGACAATGCCCGAGTCATCTAGACCCATCCTACCACGCATGCCCAATTTACATACAATAATGCTGACGGGAACCGGAACAACGCTATGCTGCAGGGACATTAAACTTTATACATAGAAGTGCTACTACAGTTTGATTTTAATTTCTCCTGTAAAAGGCTGAAGTGAATGCTTTCACCTGTTCATCAGCGCTTCAATGGTATCATGAAATCGAAGTACGATGTACACGGTCTTTGTGTGAAACCGGAATGAGTTGTTCTACAGTTCTGGAGACAAATCTGACATTTGGAAGATGAAGAGCTGCGTTATACTCCTCTTCATCAAACTCTGCCTGTTTTAATGTTCTCATATAACTCTCAGTAGCTGATCTTGGATGACCCCTTGCAATGGAGACCTGCGATTTCATGGAAAACTGTTACACAGCAGGAAAATAATTGCCTCGTGCCAATAAAATTAGCATGCATAGTCTTAATGCCTTGGTTCAGATGGTAGGATGGAGAAGGTCGAGCTGTAAAAAAGGTCCTAAGTTTGACTCGTCCCCAGTGTTCGTGCATGCATATTCAGATTTTGTTGCATTCCATCGATATTTTTAGCACCCCAGGTATACATTAAGTAAGAACTTTGGAAAAACTACGGATGCTATAGATTACCAACGAAACTATGTAACCTTGAAAATCGAAATGGCATCTCAATGAAAACAAGGAAAGAAAATTAACAAGGGACTTACCAAATGTCCCTTTCCTAGCTCAAGAAGCCAAAAGCGCCATTCTTTCATAGCCTTCCCCTCAACATTAACAGAGATGTTTGTCCAGCAACTGTGATGAAATTCCACTCTGTCCAAACCATATGCCACTCCACTCCCAATCGCTTTGACATAAGCTTCTTTCAGACACCAATATCTACAAAACACACTATAAATCATCAGCTACTCAAATCTTTGGACCTCTCCCGCATGCTGCTTACTGTGCCGATAAATAAACATTATTTTGCCAAACCCTAATGATTCACCTGAACATTCAAGCTCAACGCATATTTAATAAACTTGTATTGAAAGGTTTCTATTCTAATAGACCTGTGAAGTTATCCCCAACAGATAAACAGAGTGAATATGCAGTAAAAAATTTCAGGCAAGGTATGCTAGCCATATCTAAAAGAGAACCAAGCCACACAGAAAACTACAAAACTGTGACAGTTAGATGTTCTGACAAAGATACTGAACTTTATTCCATAATTTTAAACTCAAGGGAGATTTTACATGAAAACCAACAATGTTAGATAAGATAGGAAACAAAGTCTTTCTTTCTTCCAGTAGTTCTCTAGTGGGTCACTAAGATTTACAGAAAGAGTACAAGTGCACAAATCATAAGTATATTGAAATAAGAATATCTGACAAGGAAACAACAATGAAAAACTATAACTTACAACACAAAAGTATTATGGAATAAATTTTCACAGAATGTCAGGAAACGATTTACCTGTAAAACTCAATCAGAATATCATCAGATGTGCCAGCATTGACTATGCTATCCCATTCAAAACTTGAAAAGTATGAGGAGAAGTTTTGAATAAACTCTATAACCGTCTCTTTCTGAGGAATGACTATGGAAACAATGTCCAACCCGACGAGGCACAAAGGTTCGGACGCTATAGCAACATAGTCACCATGATGAGAGGCATTGAAATTAAAATTGGGAAAATCTGCGCAAACATCACCACATTCCTGAAAACAAAGACATTATGCAGAGTGTAGTGAACAAGATATTAATGGTGGATGTACAAGCAAGGAAGGTACAAGAATTGCGCCAAGAAAAGGATGTAAAATCATTTCTTGTAAACACATAGTTGAAACTTATACATAGTATGCAGAAAAAGATATTAATGCCGGATTCCATGACTTCAATACATATTTGGGTCTCCATCAAAACCGATTTCATTTGGATAAAACAAGAACTGGCAAGTTTAATCATACATACCAGATATGGTTTGCCTTCCAAGGTGCGCTTAATGATAATTTCATCATAGGGAATTGCCAAAACTTCATTTACAAGAGCATATTGAAGCAGCCGGCTCACAAGTGCCCGCTTCCTGTCTTCCATCTGTACAAATCTACCAACGTCAAAATATAATGCATCTCTGTTAACTGTCTCAACAATTCTTCCTAAGCTCAATCCATTATCATTTTGCTTTCTTGGATGCTACTTATAACATCAAAACTCTAGTGGAAATTTCCCGTTTCATGTATTGATGGTTCAATCATTTATCAGACAAGTCACTTTGACTCTGCCAAAAGCAAGTGCCAAGTTTGGTTCATATATATTGCTTGCAAAAGGCATAAAATAACACAAATATATGCCTTTTGTTGGAATAAAACCATTTACTTTGATCACTATTGGGTTTTCTTCTTTCTAGGTTTTGTTGGAATCCAAAAAAACAAAAAACAAAAGACAGCAACTAAAAGAAAAAGCAAGGGAAAACCTGGTGACAGAGGGTTGCTCAACTGAAGGAAGAACAGAGAGAGCAAAGGAGAAATCTTGGGGAGATGGGTCCCACCCTGATATGTTCACAACCCATCTCTGTACCCCTCTCTCCATTGTTATGCAAAGACCCACCAAACAAGAAGAACTGAGCTTAGAGTTAAAAAAAAAAACCATAGAAAATGCTCTGCAGACAGAAGAACTCTCTCTTTCGTTTGGCGGGGCTTTGTTCAGCCGTTGGATGTTCCCAACGGTTGAGATTACAACAACCTAACTTCATATACAAAGTTGTCTTTGTCTCTGTAGTTTGCCCCGGGACCAAAGTTGACCTTTCGGCTAAATAAAACCACCCGATTTGTAAATACAACCCGACCCGAAATATTATTTTTAAATAAAAAATAAAATAAAACTCGTTCAATCAAATCGACGCAACAATAGGAAACACTCTTCTCCGCGGGTCTCTCTCAGCCTAAGAAAAACGAAGCACTCTCACTCCTCTTTTCCCTTTGCCGTTGGGTTCCATTTCCTCTGCAACAAGGAAGCTCTCTTCCAAATCCAGGTTTGTGTTCGCAATTTTTCTTTGCTTTGTCAATTTCTGGTGCTTTTTTTTGGTTGGGATTAAACTAGTGTCTGTAACTTAGAGGTTTATGCTAGGGCTTTTGATATTTTTTTTCTCTGTTCCAAAATTATACCATTTGTTGTCATGGGTTTAAATTGCTGTTAATGTTTCTAATTTAGGCATCTCCATTATCTGTATCAAGATTGTTCTTGAAAAAAAAATTACAAATTTTATATTTAAAAAAAAAATACTATTATCAATTTTATGCAATTGGGGTGAGTGATTATCATGTAAGGTCAGCAATGTCAAAACCTTGATATCTATCAATTAATACAACATTGAGTATCAGTGAAAAAAAAAATGATTTTCTTCTGCCACTTAAAGGGGAGGGTTGTGGATGGATTGCAGCATTGTTTTATAATCTTCTTGATGGCTATAAGTCTGGATATTTCTTTGGAGAAATTAATAACATTGAACTCTTCTATATATTCTGTCAATTTAGATTCATATCCATGAGAGAGAGATTTTAAGTGAAATAATTTGAAGAAATTAACAATTCTAGGTAAAATTTACTTTATTGTAAATGAATATTTGATATATTATATTTATACAGAAAAAACATTAACTTGTTTCTTGCAAAACTAATAACTCTTTTCTAACGTTTATGCTTTTAACCGTTTATATTATCGTATCATCACTTCATCAAAACCCTCATTTGCCTTGTAGGCAGATATTGGTGATACCAAATCAAAATGTATAGCTCAGCAGCGAAGCGGCTTCTCCATCTCTTTGGTACATCCTTGGGTAGCAGTACCAACCACCGTATTATTCGTTACCGCCCTCTTCAATCCCTCATTAGTCGTTCTCACTTTTCCACAACTGTGAACTCCGAATCTTTCGTCAATCAAAGCCCTAACTTTCCAAACTCCACATCGTCAACGGCCGATCAAATCCCTAATTTTTCAAATACCACGTCATCAACGGCTGATCACACTAGGAAACCGAGAGCGGAATACCAAGATGAGCAAGCTCGTGTGCTCCAAGCCTCACTCCCCCATGTTATAAGGTTGGGATGGAGTGAAGCGGCTATGATTGCTGGTGCAAGGGATGTTGGTTTGTCTCCATCGATTGTTGGATCATTTCCAAGGAAGGAGGGTATGCTCGTTGAGTTTTTCATGGATGACTGTTTGCAAAGGCTTAGTGATATGATCGACTCTAGTACAGAGGAGTTAAAAAGTTTGATACCAAGTGAGAGGATCACAAAGCTTGTGAAGAGTCGCTTGGAAATGCAGGCACCCTACATATCGAAGTGGCCACAAGCTCTTAGCATCCAGGCACAACCAGTGAATGTACCCACAAGTTTTAAGCAGAGGGCGATGCTTATGGATGAGATCTGGCATGGTGCTGGCGACGACACAGCTGATTTTCAGTGGTATGTGAAGCGGACTGTCCTTGGAGGTATATACTCCACAACCGAGATTTACATGCTTACTGATAATTCCCCAGATTTTTGTGATACATGGGCATTCTTGGATGATCGGGTGAAAGATGCTTTTGACTTGAAGAAAACCGTCCAAGAGGCAACATACTTGGCAGAAGCTGTTGGTGCTGGGATGGGGACTTCTTTGCAAGGATTTGTGAAGAGAGTCTTTCAGGGCTAAGATATTACTAAAGAATTATATTGCAAGCATCAGTCCTCTCTCTGGTCAGTAATCTTGGATGAGATGCTCTGTTACAACTTTACTAAAGAATTATATTGCTAGCTCAAATTATTGTAAATCTTTTCCTTCTCTGCTGAAGCCTGAGTTGAGTTTAGTTGTCTATTGCAAGATCCATTTCTTTGTCAATTGAAGCTTCATTTAAGCTCTCAGGGTCCAGTTTTAAGGTATTGCACATTTTTGGTACTTTCTGTAGTCTGTTGAATTCATGTTGGCCGGGGCTTCTCCTTAGACCTGAAATAAATAAAAGGGAATTTACCCGGACAAGAAAATGGAGTGTAAATGAAGTGTATGAGTTTATATTATGTATAACATGAAAATACTGTACAAAATAAAAAATGTTTTTCTTTAAAAATAATTACTATCATTGTATCAGGGTCTTTGACATTGTAATTCATAAACAGTACTATGTTAGTTGCTGTTCAACTATGATTGGAATGTTGTGGAACAACCTGAGTTTTTTGCATCATGAGCCTATGTATTTAGAATCTATGCATTTTTCCGCATTTTTCTTTATCTTAATAAAACTACTTATAACATGACATGTCAACTACCATCAATTTAGGTGTAGTTTTAACACTCTAAAAAGTCTAATTTTACCCTTCCAGTAGAGTTAAAAATTTTGAAATTTGAAACTTAAAAAATAACAAACCAAACCCAGCACTTCCTTCGACAACGGTAATCCCATTTAAAGGCCCTCCAAGTGCCCGGGATTGTGCTTCCACAAAGCATTGATTCCTGGGTTGCTCTGTCCAAACTCATACAGTGAATTTACCTCGGAAAACCTTGTATTCTATGCTGCAAATAGTTGGCTGAACCTTGTATTAATACGTTCTCAATTTTTCCTTCACAGGCTAAAGATACAGGGGAAGCCATGACCTAATCGATGGCAAAGCTTGTCCAAGAGAACATCAAAGTTGGCTGATCGTGGAGTGGCGGTCTGCCGATGCTACTAGGGGTGGGTTTTATTATTAATTTTATTGAAAGGGTGAAATTGGACTTTCAAACTTATGATAGTTGACGTGTCGTGTTATAGATTTTAAGATTATTACAATGATTAGGATTAAGTGAAATGCAGAAAAATGCGTAGATTCTAAATGTGAGGCTTGGAATTTGAGTTTATAAGCCTTATTTTGAAAAATAAATTAAAATCAAACAAGCTTCCCACATAAAAGATAAGAGAACATATGAGCAAGCAAATTGGTCTTCCATATGTAATATTCTTTGAAGGTTTTTCGAGTATTCACTTCTGACTTTGTATTTCAATGATAGCAATTAAAGACATGTAATTTACCTAAACTTACAATGAACTCTAATCCATTAAAATATGTCAATGAGTGGACAATTTCGGTCTAGTGATATTTATCTAAACTAAAATAAAAATGGATGAAAAGATATGCGAGTAGCATATATGCTAGGGTAACATCATAAACCAAAATAAAAATGGAGGAAACTAGGGCGGCGTTCGGTAATGTTTTCCCTAGAGCTAGATGTACTAATTTTGAATGACCCCAAAAGATTGGGTAATTTTATGTTGTTAACCCTAAAATATGCAAACATATTAGGAGTGCTAGTATTACATCGTTTTGGCACTAAGGGTACCATAACCTGGTAAAATAGATCTTTATAACAATATAATTACTATATTTGGGTCCTAATTTACAACCTTTTGCATGTGGGATAACAATAATCCGGAATGTTGTAATCCTCTATTTGGATTGATAGGGATCCACATTACTATGGATTTTTGGCGCATGGGGAGGAGATTAATTACTAGAAAATGTCATGGAGTTCAACAATCAATCATTAGATCAGTTCATCAAGGAGCATGACATGTATGGATATGATATTGGCAAAAGGGTAGTGTTACTCTCGCACTACCAAGTCATTATAAAGGATTTAATCGAAAACATTTGGCAAAGGTCGCGAGGTAAAGTAGACATAGGGGATCTAGATAAGATGATTGTTACAATACTAGATAAATATAAAGTGATGCTTCCAAGTTCCTTTCTGTCTCCCTCTGTCTCTCACCCACTCATCGGACTTGAGCACCATCACCATGAGACCCTTCGGAAAATTATTTGCTGCTGCCGCCGCCAACGTTTTGAACCTCACCGGCTCCCATGTAAAACAGAACTACCAAAAAAAAAAAAAAAAACATGAACAACCCACATGAAGAGATGACTATGAAAAGCTCGGGGAAGTCACTGGAAAAAAACAGCCTATGTTTTAGGGTTTGTTGACATTGTTGTTGGAACCGTTGATCTAACTCTTTTACTACTTGGCGCTTCTTTCCTCTCCCCACTTTGGTGAGGACAGAACCTGGAGCGGCACCCAAGAACTTGTCTGAGAAGCTCACCTGGGAGAACCTCGTTGAGGACTTCGTAATGATATGTGACAACAATTATAAAAAAATTAAAAATTCCCATGAAATGTATTGCGAGGTGCTAAAGTGGCGTGACACCATTTATGCAACCCAAAAGAGCCATAACAGAGGTGCTGATGGAATCCTCGCCACCATAGTCGCCGAAGGCAGTGCTGATGGAGTTGCTGCAGTCGTTGGTAGCATTGTTGTTGCAAATACAGGAGCCAAAGACGACGTCCCATACATTATGGTGCACCTATGCAATCCGTTCAATTGAAAAAATTGGGTGAACTCATGAAAAAATTGCATAGGTGCACCAGAATGTATGATTATTTGGCATGTCAATATAATTGATATAATTGAAAATATTTGGCAAAAGTTGCGAGCTAAAATAAACATAGGGGATCTGTTAGAAGTATGCCCTAAAGCCAATCATGAGATGTAATTATCTTAGTCATTTACTTAATCAACAAGTCCATGGATCGTGAGACTTAGAAAGTGACTTAAATAAGTTAAGTTGAGGAGACCTTTTTGTACCATGTTCGCATCCTAAACTGTTCATAGTCATAGGATAATCAACTGTACAGTGATAAACCACAAAGACCATCATGCACTGTATCTGCTCAATCAGGAGGATGACTGGTTTTGAGTCATGCGTGTGGAGACACTAAGATAAGTGTATGGGTGTTCGTTAGAGAATGAATTCACTGAATGCGATCAACAAAGAGAACTTGAAAGGAAGTTTTACTTACATGCCAATCAAGATCTCTCAAATTGGAATAGTGCAAATTAGTCCTTGATCTAAGGCACCATAAGTTGTCTTATGAAAACAACGTAGGCCTTAGCCATTTGCATTCCTTTGGACATAACCCAAAGATATGACTAGGGTTCATGATAAATTCATGGCGGCATGTGAGTGTACAACAAGGGATCTCGAGAAGGGTCCCATCTGAAAAGATGGTCCTCATGGAAATTGTTCATTCTTCATCTGCTGGGATAAAGCACCTCGTTACGTGAGCGACAAGAAAGTCAATGACATGCAGAAGGTTTGGGATATTTTGCTCAAGTCTTCACTCGAACTACTCAAAACCCGTGATCTACCCTATAGGGAGATTGATGAGAAGCAAGATTCGAGTCGTCTGCGCTGATTTGGGGATCAAACTGAGAAGACTATACCCTTATCGAGCAATCATGACTTGTTTTCCAAGCCACGAATAGTCAAGCGCGGAGCTTATTCAGCATTCCAGAATGTGATCAGGAGGGCTAAAGAGTTGTCTGCTTGAGCAAAAAGTCATTCAGTTGCTCCAACTGTTGGTCCAAGAGCTGGTGATAGCTTTGCTGGAGATGAGCATGTGAACAAACTTCCTATCAAGTCTATCTGCCTGTGCCAAGTTGGTTGACCACATACATCAGGCTGGCGACCTTAGCACGTTCTCAAGCCTCTCCCTAGGTAAGCAAGAAAAAGTTGTTATGTATCATCTTCAAAAGGGGATGTTTTTTGCTACTAGGGCCATGCGGAACTCGTCTCCTATTGCTCCTCTTCTGCTTTGCTAGATGAGCTGACGAGGAAGAATTCTGATATGGTTGACAAGCTTTCGAACAAGTCAATTCGCCATAATGCCAGAATGTATGAGATAAAGGAAAGTATGTTTGCACTGAAGAGTTCTCTTGGCCAAAAAGATGGTGAGCTCAAGTCTCTTGTTGCTACCCTCCTCGAACGCAAGGAAGCTTATTATCACCTCAAACAAAAGTATGCCTTTCTGGCCTAAAACCGTAACAAGCTGCTGGTCAAGTTTGACACTTATGTTGAAGCCACAGAGGCATCCAAGCATGAGATTGCTGCTAATGCGTACAAGCTAGGATACTTGGACTGCAGGAATGGTGCCTCTCCATGTTGCCCCCATCAAAGATGAATATGATGAGCTGCTCTACGTGGACGTGCTCCCTGCTTAAAGTGAGCAGATCAACACCATAGATGTATGAGCAGTTGAAGAGCACATGGTGGATGAAGCTGCATTGGAGGAAGATGGCACCAAGGATGGCGCAGTTGATGAGGTTGGGGCAGATGCGGAGGAGTTGGTAGCTAGGGCTGCCGAGCAGATGGTGGTGATTGAGTAGAGTGAGACCGCGGTTGGCACAACTAATCAAAAGGCAACTGAGGAAGTAGTCGGCCAAGGGTCACCTGCCAGAGTTCCTTAGTAGACGTAGACTCCTTTATTATTTTTGAACTCTATATTTTCACTTCTTGTTTCAATAAATGGTCTTTAGTCAACCATCTTCTTTCTTGTTGAACTTGGAAGGCTGGCCGCTTTACTATGGAATTTTCAGTTGTTTTTCAAACTTCAATTCGCATTGTATCTTGTAAGTGTATGTACAGAGACATGTAGATGAGAGTGGCCTATTTGGCCTATGTCTGGAGACGTGCCAATAGCTCTCGTGGAGTGGCATTTTTGGCCTATGTTCGGAGACATGTCGATAGCTCATAAAGTGTGTGTCCAGAGACATTTAAATAAGAGTGGCTCATTTGGCCTATGTCCATAGACACGTCGATAGTTTCCGTAAGTGTATGTCCGGAGACGTGTAGATGAGAGTGGCCCGTTTGACCTATGTCGATAGCTCTCGCATGGATCTCCAATTAAGTCAAATAAATTTTTATTCAGAGAGAGAGAGAGAGAGAGAGAGAGAGAGAGAACAACGGTAAAAGATTTTTATTTTTTTTTGGGTCTACATGGAAGTCCATGTCACTAAAAAAAAATATAGATTTCACATTTGACAAGTAAGCATTTAACAGAATAACTAACAATTTGTGTAACGATGAGGGTAAATTGTAGGTTTTCTGGGCTTTTGAGTATGTACTCTTAAATGTCCCTAAAGGTGAGTATGAACTTGAAAATGACCATATAGTTTGGGGGGCTCTTATGTAGTTTTTCCAATAAAATAAAATAAAATAAAATAACCTACATATGTTATAAGCCCAATCCAAAATTAAAAAAATTAAAAACAAACCCTACACACACGCTGCCCATGTAGGTGGTCCTATCTTCTCTCTCCTTCTCTTTTGGCTATGAGACATTTGCTTGTTTCTCTATCTTTTTAGCTACCAACATCAGCATCTTCTTTCTCCCTCTATTTTCTATATCTTTAATTATAGTTTGAATTTTAAATTGAGTATTCTAGGGTTTAATTAGGAATGAAAGAGAGTTTGCTAATTATATTGATAATACATTGATAATTTAAGAATTTAAGAGTTCTAAGCATCGATAGTTTTGGTTTATTTTGCATTGCATTTACTTTTGGTTTTAGTTTTAGTTTTTGCATTTGTGGAACTTTTATTTACGGATAGAGATGCATTCGAGGGTAGGCTCATTACCTCCTCCTTGACTAAGTGTATCCTTTTATGTTTATTAATGAAATTCACTCGTACCAAATTGAGTTTAGTATGTAAGTTTTGCCCAACCCGCTTTCGAATCCTAGAACCACTACTGAGGGGCCTTGAAATTGGTTGGCAGTAGAGGGACTGTGTCGGGGAGTGGGGTGGTTGTTGCTTGATGGGAGTGTAAATTTTTCATTTCATTATTTTAAAGGTATTGAGTACATATAGGCCCATTTTAGCATGATATATATCCAAAAACCCAAAATAGCCACTTGTCATTTTCTAATTGGTCATTCTTAGTGTGTTACAATTTTGTAACAACCAATTAGAAAATGACAAGTGGCTATTTTGAGTTTTTCTCTCCAAATAGACTATGTAAGTTTTTGTATAATATATAATGCTAAAATGGGGTTTTGAATAAATATCTCTACATATAATAAGGTGTAAATTGTGAGTCTAGTGATTAAAATAGACTACAATTATGATGATGTGGACTTATTAAAATTCATTAGATCAATCTAACAGTTATCAATTTTTTAAATGCATGTAAATGCACAGATACTAAATGCAAAGACTCGAGATCCAACTAATGATAGTTGAAGCTTGGCTTGAAATGGATTGACATGCATGATGCATCTAGTATGGTGGAGAAAGTCATCTTTCATGCAATTTTATGTCCACATGAATATATTAATTCCTCTCACACTCAACGTACCCAACACGCGAAATAGTTAGTAAACAAAAAATCTGTCAAAATTAAGATATTTCTGTTTAATTGGGTGACCAAACAGAACCCAAAAGGAAAATTCCAAAGAAATTCTTTGACCTACTTCAACAAACATAAACAAAAAGATGAGTTTACCACGACGGCAAACTAATATAAGCCTTTGCTTCATTGAAATGGTAATTAAAAAAACAGCTTTATACTGTTTTTGGCTCACACTTAGCTGTCCCAACCAAACACGTCGTTATTATTAACGCGTCCAGCTAATACATAAATAAAGCACAACATGCATCCAATTTGTAAATCACCAAAAATAAAAAAACATTTTTGGAAAAAAAAAAAATTTAATTTGCAAAAGAGGGTTTTGGGTTTCGAAATTGAAATGTTGAAGATGAAGAAGTACGTGAAGCTTCAGAAGTGCAAGCTCCAGCAGGATAAAAAGTCTTCTCGAAGACCCAAGTTGATGGAGGAGGAGGAGGAGGAAGAGGAGGAGGAGATCAACTACAAGCAGAGCCTACAGAGGGAAAGAATCAGGGCCGTTGATCATGGAGATGAAGTTGGTGTTGGGCCCAACACCCCTAGGAGCACAAAGCTTATGGATTCAATGCGCAAGCTGATTCTGCAAAAGCAGCCCTCCAATTTTGCTCCCAACAAAAGCAATACTATTATTGCTTCTGATCCGTAGTGATTATGATAGTGGTGCGGCCTACCGCAGGGGATAATTATCAAACTCTGTATATTGATTGCATGCATGCATGGCTTCTCACTTCATGCGTGTTCAATGGAATGCATGAAGAGAGAGAGAGAGAGAGAGAGAGAGAGAGAGAGAGAGAGAGAGAGTCTATTCTTTTCTTTGTATTATAGTTTTCTTATTTTTCTTTATTTGTTCTCTTCCTTTCTGGGTTGTGCATGCCTATAGAATTGGCATGAAGAGGCAGAATTAAATCATTCATATTCACTCAATGAAATGTTTGAAGGGTGAGTCTGCTTGAACCCCGCTAAACTTTTTATTTTGATGGTTTTTTTTTTTAACCGAACATTATTATTTTTTCTTTCAATTTCTATGATTTAAAATTGCATTGCCAAATGGCCACCGTTATAGGCAGGCACATATGCCATCGGTGCCTCTAAACGCCACGGCCAAACCGTCATGATGTACCTCAATGACTTTGCAGCCCCATTGGCTTCTGGCGGAGAGTTGGGAGACGGGGATGGAGGGAAGCTGGTGGGGAGAAGGCGATGGTTTGAAGTTTTTTCTCCTTTTGCAACGTTTGTGTTTTATTGCATTCAAATGTAAAATAAATTGTTGTACCCGAAAAAAAAACAAATGTTAATTAGGATTCAAAGTTGCAAATACTGAGGGGTTAACATAGCAAATTTAGACTTCATATATAATTAGAGTTGATTCATATATGTAACTCAGCTATGGATTTTCTCACCTCATGAATCTAGGCCAATGATTGAAACTGTTTAGTTTTCAGGTTCTCTTTCCAAGATTGCCCATGAAAATCATGAGCTAAATTATACACTTTCTAGCTGTTTGATTGTTCACATTTTCGTTTCAGTTTTATTCAGTTATGTATTCTTCTTTAATATGGAGGTATTTATAAGGAAGTACAACTTTAAATAAAATTGGAAATAAATCTAAATTACAATAAAAAATAAATCTCAATTATAACTAGACAAATGGGTAAGTAACCAAAATCCTAACTAAATAAGAACTTGCCAATTTGTTTGAGGGTATAGATTTAAAAATCAGCCTTGAAACGAGAAGGACAATGATCGATTTGTTGAGGGGGAAACCCTAATACTATTATTTATTAGACTAACAAATATAAAACAATATTGTTTTATGTGGTAAGGTTTAAATTTTAAGATTTGGGGCATCTAACTCTATATATGTATACATTTATATGAGGTATTCAGTTTGTTATCTTGATTCTTAATCATTTGGATATAACTTAACATGTACTAGCCTCTCACACCCGCTTTCGCGCCTGTAATAGGCTTTTTTTTAAAAAGAATTTAAATTTATTTTAGAATTAAAAAAGATAATGGGTAGTTGTGTTCCATAAAAATAGAATCCATTATATTATTTATCTTTTAATTTTAATTTTTTTTAATATGAAAAAGTGTGAAGTTACCATAATTATCCTCATTTAATTAATAATTTTAAGGGGGTTTCACTAAAACACCCAAAATGGAGGCTGAAATTATAAAAAAACCCAACACCCAAAACACTTTATAAACACACCCAAAACCCATCATTACACACACTCAAAACCTATTTATAAACACACCCAAAAAATATACAATTGTTGATTTTGGGGTTGAGTTTGGGTGTGTTTCTATGTTTAAATAGTGTTAGGATTTTTTTATAAATACATGTCTAGGATTGGGTTTATTTATAAATTTGTATAATTTTAATTCTTAATGTTTGCATTAACCATAATATTTTGGGAGCTTTAGTAATATACCCAAAATAGGGGCTGAAATTATGAAAAAACCCCACATGAAATGCACTTTAGAAACACACCCAAAACCTATTTACTAAATAAGAAATGAGTGTTGAAGTTCCTATAAATTACATATCTACCATTGATTAACCTAAAACAAGCTCAACACAAAAAACTCAAAAAGAACCCAAAACAAGCCCAACACAAAATTTTTAAAAACACCCAAACTAAAAAAAAATCGTGAAAATCAAGAAGCTGTCCTTACGACCCTTCTCCACTAAACCTCCGTACACTATTAATACCATGTGATAGAAGTACATTGTTAATACCATGTGATAGAAGTACATTATTAATACAATTTCGTAGAAGTACATTGTTAATACGATGTTATAGAAGTACAATGTTAATACCATATGATAGAAGTACATTGTAAATACCATTTTATAAAAGTACATTGTTAATATCATTTCATACAAAATTTTTAAAAAAAAAACTATAACAGCCCAGCAAGACATCCGATATCTTTTGCAGAAACCACCTCCAATTGTTCATAGTTTCACTACATATAATCGCAAAGGCAAAAGGAAATATCTTTACAAAAAGAAAAAAAAGTACACTGTTAATACTATATCATAGAAGTACACTGTTAATACTATGTCATAGAAATCAACTCAGTTGCAGGGCATGAACAGTTATTATACAGTTCATACCACTTACTGGAAGTTAACAACTACATCATTTCATTTACATAATCGGTACGATAAAAGTGTACAACTCCATACCACTCAAAATCAATTACATCATTTCATTTGCATAATTAATTGATCCTTCATCACTTCACATACCATAAACATTGAATCAGAGCGACTCCTACACATACTGTTCATCATCATTGTGCTTGGTAGTAACAATGACCTTATCTACAACAAGATATGCACCAGCAGCCAAGGCTTCCATAAATTCCTTGGTGCTAGACTTTGCAATGGTACCAAGGTTGTTCACCAAATCTGACAATACGAAATAAGAACAAAATAATTAAGCATAATAGAATAATTGGAATAACACAGTTAACAATTATAAGCCCAAAGCGCATAACTGATAAGGTGAAATAGTACATAGAATTTGAATAGTCTACTATTTCACTACAAACTATAGGGATAATATGAAGCCATTCACTCCCCGCGTCAAAATTTCAATATAAAGTTATTGTAATGCTAAGTGGTTACATATATTGTAACAATGAAGTAAATAAAATATCTCCTTTTTCAGGACCTCCATGGACCTACCAATCTCTATGAGTTTGCTAGGGGTGGTTGCGGTTCGGTAACCGCGAATTTTTACTCAAACCGCAAACCGACCGACTATTTGCGGTTTGGTGATTTTTGAAACCGCAAACCGACCATGTTTTGCGGTAATTAAAGTTAAACTTCTTAAGCATTCCAATTCCAAATCCTTTAAAGTTATAAACCAAAAAGGAAAATGCAAAGCAAAATGAATTAAAGTTACAACAAAAAAGAAAAATCCAATTCAAAGTTAATTAAAGTTACAAACTAAAAGGAAAATGCAATGCACCAATGTTACAAACTCAAGTGTTGATGGTGAGTGGATTTGAAGAACCTCGTTGTGTTGTTTGAGCACCAATGTTATTTACAAATAAAACAACATAGTGTAGTACATTTTATTATAAGAAGAAGCATAAATAACATTAGCATAAATAAACTAATTACTTACAAGTTGTCATATGTTCCATTTCCTTGTAAAATTCAACTTCATCATCCGTGTGGCTATACTTTGCGGTTTGCGGTAACCGCAAGTTTTGAAAATCAAATACCGCAACCGCAACCGCAAATGCGGTTCGGTTCTTAATACCGCAAATGCGGTTCGGTTTACCGCGATTGCGGTTTCATTGCGGTAAATTGTCGGTTGATTTTTGCGATTTTTCAGTTTTTCGGTTTAAAATGCCACCCCTAGAGTTTGCAACAAGAAAGATAGATAAATGTTTAAATGACAATAATTAAACTAAAGTTGTTGCTTTAACGGTCATTTTTATGTGGTCAACGGATAAATATGTAGAGATTAATATGGGACACCAGAATACATAGTAGCATGGCAAAGCTAGTAGTGTGATACATTATTGAAACTTTATTCAAGAAATCTCAGAGGATTCTTCTTCCAACAAAAGTTTCTGGAGAGGCAAAGAGAGTTTTTCAATTTGTATAAAAGATCAGTCCCACACATACACACGTACGCACACCAACCCAACTCTCTCTCTCTCTCTCTCTCTCTCTCTCTCAATAACAACCAAATAAATAAATATACAGAAGAAGAAGAGAAGAAGAAGAAGTTTGGTTTGGTGCAAGTCCCCGTGTGCTGTATAGGAATATTTAAAAGAAGTTGTTGCAGGCAGAATCTATTCAATATAAAGTTTTCTACCAATACATATTCTTAGTCTGAATTCCCTAGGAGAGCAATCTCTTCTTTCTCTCATGAAAAAGGCAAGGCAAAAGAGAAACAAAAAGCATAACCAAAATGGGGGAAATGATAGTATTTTTTTAAATAAATATTGAGCAGTCTAAGACAATCATCAACCAGGATGCATGTTAGTTAGAAATTAGGAATGCAAAGAGCATGAAATTCAATAGTTAATACTAGCACCATATACGACTTCAACTTCAGCTAATGTGACAAAATCAATCATCATCAATAAAGCAAGGAGTAAGGGCAAGACAAGGCAAAGCAATAGCATCTCAATTATGGCTAGGAACTAGAAAGGAAGGAGGACTACTGACTGAAAGTTGAGACAGAAGAGCTGCTGAGCTGAGCAATGATACGGATTCATGGCGAACTGAACTTTGGAGCAATTAGTGAAGCGAATGCCCGCAACCACATCCTCTGCCTCCACCTTTGGAGCTATAACCTCCTTACCACCACTGCCGCTTCCACAAGACTGGGCCTCGCTGACGGTGATGTTACGGCTGTCAAGGTTCTGGTCGTTCATACCTTCGATCACATCCCTAATGTCCTTCTCGTTGTTGAAGGTGACAAAGTCGAAGTCGAAGTCGAAGCCCCTGGACCTCCAAGTTGTCGATGATCTGGAAACACAAAAAGAAACCAAATCAAATCAGATCCGTCCATCAAAACAAAAACGCTGGAGTATAATCAAACAAATACACAATAATAAACAAAAATGGAAAGGAATCGATCGAAAAGATCAAGCAACATAGAGAAACAGAAGATCAAGAAGCAGAGAGAGAACATGCATCAGACGGCTCTTCGATTTGATGATCTCATCGAACGGAGAAAAGGCCCTCTCCAGCGCATCATTGTCGCTAGCCCAGGCGAGCCTTCCGACGAAGCTTAGAATGATGAGGTTGAACAAAAACTAAAAATTGGGGTTGAAGATGAAGATGAGAGACTGAAGGTCGTGAAATGGGTTCTGATTTGTTGTTGATTAGAATTCCAATTTTATGTTAAAAGGGTAATAAAGGTATTTCATTTTAATAATTAAATTAAAAAATATACAGCTGTTGATTTTTGGGTTTATTTTGGGTGTGTTTATATACATTAAATAGTATAGGGTATTTTTATAGTTTTATGTCTAGAAATGGGTATTTAACTAATTTTCTATAATATTTTCTAGTATTTTGAATCTTAATTCTCTACCTTTTGTTATATATATATAGATAATATAATTGTTCAGATTTATAATGTTTTTTTAATCAATAAAATAAAAAAAGAAACAGTGGTGGCGAGGGAATGGGACAGATGAGCATGGAAAATTTTATAAAATAGAAGAGGGTCACTGGCATACAAGGACTTGACGTGCAATTTTCAAACCGATCCATCTCCTACGGATCAGGGTTTTATTGAATTTAATTTCATGTCATTTTCCTTTAAAAAAAAAAACTTTTATTACCAGACGGTAAGCCAATGGTTGAAACAGTTCAGTTTTCAGGTTCTCTTTAAAGATTGCCCCGTACAAACCATAAGCTAAATTATACACCTTTTAGCCATTTGATTATCCACATTTTCATTCAAGTTTTATTTAAAGAACTTTTTTTTTTTCACCATAGATGACCAAGCACCTTCCAATTTTATCAGGGTTAGTTCTTGAAGGATGATTTCTGATCGTTGAATGGAAAACAAGAGGAGGATAGTACTTGTTGGGCTGAATCTATCATATGGAGAAAAACGCCTCAAATAGAAATGACATTGCCACTGTGGCGGATCTAGGGTTGTTAGACCAAGGAGTCGTGATGTAAAAGTTTCAAATTCTTTTTTATGATGAAACAACGCTAGAAATATTACAGAAAGGCAAAGCCATCAGGTATCGAACCCCTAACTTCCTTCCTCGACCACAATCGTTTGACAAAGTCCAGATCCAACGCATCATCCACATCACCAACATCAATCACACCCTTGTACACCAATGAAGGACCTCAGTTGTTAATCCTGGGACGTACTTTGTATTTTATTATTTTACCATTAATAAAGGTCCGCCGAGAGTTATTCATAGTCAACATGAATTTAACTTCTTGCAGACCGATGAAGGTAGACATTGCAATGACTAGGTAACTGATTGAAGTGTGTATGCATGCTAAATACCGAGAATATCAAGTTATTGGTGACACTTCTCTATGACTACTAGGAAATGTGAAGACGCGTTAATCTTAGTTGTCGGAGTAGTTTGTTTACTAATAAAAGATAGGCATTCGTCCATAGTTTTTACGTTGTTGAGTTCAACACGTTGTAGGCCTATCATTGAGCTTTTGCTTCATCACTCCATCATTAAGGACCGGAAATCCCTCAAATGCTTGCGCAATTTTCGAGGAGAATATTTGTTTTTCCCAACACTCATCAAGAATGAATTTTATTTTTACAAAATCTTTTCACAATTGCCTCTTGCCTAATTCTCCAATGTCACTGACACTATAGTTCTCTTGGTTTGATCCGAAGGCACGAGTGGGATCATATATTCATGTGTAACAATGAAGGATTGGATAAGAGCGAGAAAGATAATCCATTCTAATCATGCATTTATTAGATAGATGTGAGACATTAGAGCATTCATAATTGACTTTCTAAACCACTTTCTTACAAATTTTGGGGAGGAATTGGAAAAATATAACTCCAACCGTACTTCTTATACACTTCCTAAAATAAAGAGATCTTTATAAGCTTCTAAATTTGTGTGTTTTTAGAGCATTTCCAAGGGAGATGTCAAATACCAAACATCAAATTTAAATTTGACGGCTGATGTGGTAATTTGACATTTACATAGTTTTACACTCTACTTGATATGTCAAATAAATAATTATTGTAACAGTCAAATCATTCAAGATAAAGAAGAAAAAAATAAAAAAGAAAAATAATAAATGAAAGTAACAGCCAGCTGTCTTTAAAAATTAATAAAATATTTATTTAACATCTTGCTTTTGGGATGTCAAAAGTAACAGTTGAACCTCCAGCCTTCATTCCACATTAGCTTTGACAATTCGGTTGGAGTGATGTGAGATGTTATTTCTAGCAATTAAACGTTTATGTGGCACTTTTGACATATCGTTTGGAGATGTTCTTAGCTAAATTTTAACTAAAAAATAAAGAGCATGATTATAAATGTTCTTACTTTGCTTGTTAAAGATCACTTCATCTGCAAGGGTAATAAGGAGCTGGGACCTCGCCAGGTAACAAATAGTAGACTGATCAAGCTCACCCACCATTAAACTGACATCTAAGAGTGCAAGACTTTTTGTTTTTTCCCCTTTCTGAAAGCTTTTACTAATGATGGTCATAACTACATAAGTGAAGGTCAGATATTATTCCTAGTTTTCAACAACAATGTAAATAAATATTAAGGGGAAAAGAACACTCAAATGATGCTCAATAATGCTAAGGTCATTTAGAAAAGAGGTTTAAAATTAATATGTTTTATGAGAAAAATTAATGAACAAATTTGAAGTCTATATCTGATGAAAAAATCTAATTGAGCTATTGAACTAGAACTCATGTTCCATACCTTCACCACTCCATTCACTTTACACTCTCTTGTATTGGTTATTTTTTTTTTTAATATTTAAATTATAATCGGTATTATGAAAAATTACAATTACAAAGAAGATCCTCTAGAAATCTTATAACCATATAAGTAAAATTTTAACTAAGCATTTACAAGGCGTAGTAATTGGAATTTTATTTTGACTTTAAAAAGAAGAAAGAAAGAAAAAAGGTCTCTTCATTTTAACAGTATATATACAAGGCTAAGTAAAGTGGGACCTAAAACTAAGCCAAAACTCGAAAAATCACGCATGAACACAAGCAAATCAAGCAACCCAAGAAATCCGGGATTTTGAGTATTTGGACCCAACGCGTTTACTTGATGGTCCTTCCTTACACTCACCCAGAAACCTGTCTAAATATAATAATACCGCCAGTGGTAGTAGATAGAGACAGCCGGACAAAGCCTTTATTCTCTTCTTCTCTCTGCTTCTGCGTATTCTACTAGGCAGGCACCCTGGTAAAGCAAAGGTTGAGTCTTTTCTTTCTCACCTATGTACCCATCATTCGTTTCTACCCATTAGTCTACTCAGTTGCTCTTTCTTTCTGCTCAATTGGGTATTCTAGTTTCGTGTTGAATTGTTCAAATTTGATAGCTTTTTGTTGATTTGTTTATTGATTTTAGTATTTTTCTTTTGCCTTTTTCTTTTGTCCTGTTTCTGTAGACCTTTTTTTGGTTTTGCGGTCTTATATGTTCAGTGACTTTAGTTTGTGATCCACAGATTCAAAGGTGTGTTCTTTGTTGTACAAATTGCTGATTCAGTAGCTGATCAAGCAAGGTTTTGACCCTCTCTGGGTTCTCTTTATTTGGTTGTCTTGTCTCAAGTTTCATCATTTTTGTGTGGTTGGACTCTTGATTTATTTTTCCTGTTTATTGTATCGAAGGGAATTCATCTGTCATAGATGCCATATCAGAAAGTTGGTAATAGTGATTTCTGTTTGTTGATTTGGTGGTAGCAATTGTACATCACTTGTTGGGGGGTATAAATCCATGCCTTTTATTTTACATCTATAAAGTCAATCTAGAGGGATTTGACTTCTCAAATTTGGAGATTGGAGATTGGATCTTATGTATTTTGTTAAGACATTCAGTAGAGTTAGATATTGCTGCTGAGGAAGTGTTAAGGAAGGAATTAAGTGTAGGTCTAAATGGGGAATACTTGTGTTGGACCGAGCATTTCCAAGAATGGATTCTTCCAATCGGTTTCGGCTGTAATGTGGCCAAACCGGTCGCCAGATGACTTAGTTCACACAAACGAAGAAACTATCAATGAGACATCAACACCTAAGGAACCTGAGTCACCTATGCCGGTACAAGACAAACCACCAGAACAAGTGACAATACCAAAACCAGAAACCGAGCCAAAGCAATCCGCAAAACCCAAAAGGCCACCACAGATGAAGAGGGTCTCTAGTGCAGGACTTCGGACCGGTTCAGTGTTACAAACGAGAACTGGAAAGTTAAAGGAGTTTTACAGTTTGGGGAGGAATATGAGCAAACATTTAATATAATTTAAAAGGAAAGAGTTTGCATGCAAATCGATTGCAAAAAGGAAGTTATTAACTGATGAGGATGTGGAGGACGTGAGGAGGGAAATTCAGATAATGCACCATTTGGCAGGGCACCCAAATGTTATATCTATTAAGGGTGCGTATGAGGATGCTGTAGCAGTTCATGTAGTTATGGAATTATGTGCAGGAGGTGAGCTCTTTGATAGGATTATCCAGCGTGGGCATTATACAGAGAGAAAGGCAGCTGAGCTAACTAGAACTATAGTTGGAGTTGTGGAAGCTTGCCATTCATTGGGGGTTATGCATCGAGACCTTAAGCCAGAGAATTTTCTTTTTGTCAGTCAGGATGAGGATGCACTTCTCAAAACTATTGATTTTGGATTATCTATTTTCTTGAAGCCAGGTAATTGTCATTGCGCCGTTTTCTTATTATTGCAATCTCTTTTTAGATATTCTTCTATTAATGTTACTTCAGTTATGATGCTCAAGGCTTTAAGTCTATCATGCCCCTACCAAATGAAATGCGATTCAGTACAATATTGTGCATAAAACTGATCACAGAAACTTTTTTGTCTAAATATTTCATTGTCCATCTGCTCCTTTCAATCATCTTTAAAACAGTATCCATTCACTCACTTGTCTTCACTCACTTGTCTTACAATATGCTTTGAATTTGAGGGCGATTCTCCGATAAGTATTTAAGTTAAGGATTGGTTACATATTTCTAATCTCGGCCGTTGGATTGCATTCATTAGATGTGTTGGTAGATTTAATATGCAACATACATGCAATCCAACGGTCGAGATTAGAAATGTGTAACCAATCCTTAACATAAAATACTTATTGGAGAATCTTCCTTGAATTTGATACTCAATCATGTTTTAACATTTTGTGGCTCTGTTCTGGACCATTATGCTGTTGTACCATTTGTCTCTGAACTAATCACTTCGAGCATGCAAGCTTTTTCTTTAGTTATCATCCAGTTAACTCATAAGTTTTGTTGGATACTCAAGTCTGGGAATTGGAATACCTGAGGCCATATTTACATTATACTCCCCATTTTAAAAGCTTTAAAATTTTAGAATTATCTTCTTCCAGGCTTCAAAGTCCCAACTAAAAGATCTGATTGTGGAAACCAGACAGAGTCTGGTAGCTTCAAAAACAGGGGAAAGCAGGGGCAAGACTGCTATACAATTGCTTATGTTACCTTGGGTTCTCTAAGAAAATTTAAAATTTTGATAATGAAATTTAAAATCGGAATTTTTTATTTCATAATCTT